CAGCCTGCTTGCTGGTGGGGTGGGGTGAGAAGCAGCAAAGTCCTTGGCTCTGTGTAAGCACTGCTCAGCAGGAACAAAAACATCCCTGTGTTATCAACACTGTTTTCAGCACAAATCCAAAACATAGCCCCATACTAGCTACTATGAAGAAAATTAACTCTACCCCAGCCAAAACCAGCACAAAGGCAGTAAAAAAAACCCCAAACAACAACACAGAAATGCCAAACTACACAGCCCTTAACATTTAGTAAATACCCAGAAGGGCTACCAGTTAAAGCTCTGGCTAAACACTGCCCTCCAGCAGAACTCATCTGTCTGCCCACACACTTTTGTTATACAAATTTGTCTGCAACAAATTAGTTACTAGAGCACATGGATTTATTTGCATGATGTGGAGAAAAAAAAAAAAATCTCACTTTTTGTTGCAACTCTCTTGTCCTGCAGGCATAAATTACAGAGTCATTTTGAGGTTTTTCAAGTAACTAGAGCATGTTCTGGGAATTCCTAGGAGTTGCAGCCTAAAATCAGGTAAATGGAACATAATCTGTTTCGCCAATCCAGAAAAACAGATGCTTTAGCTTACATATAGCTTCAGGAATTGGATGACTGAAAGGAAAGTACTAGAGAACTGCAAAACCTCAATGGATCAATAGATTATGTATGTTGGCGACCTCCTTCTCGTCATACTGCCACAAGTGCAGAAAGCTTCCTATGGTTACAAACAGCCTCGTGTTATCTTACTCAGAAGCCCATTTTCCTTTTTTAATCCTCACGCTCCTCTGTGACAGACTTTTTAGCTGAGCCAATTTGCTTCCCGATCCAGCTTTCCAGTTAGGTGTCTCTTAAAAGCTATGTTTGTGTTTTAGCGTGATCAAGTGTTCGATAATTGTTAGTGAACAACTGTTTGTTAATATTTAACATCAAGAACCATTAGCTACACAAACATTTGTTAACCTTCAAAATATCCATCCATATATAAACCCTCTCTGCATTACTCATGTGGAAAAGGTTATTAAATGCGTTTGTTTGGAATTTAATTTTTTTAAAGAGATCATCACTTCATGGATTTATATCAGTTTCACTTCAACTGTGGTGTGACATTTTCCAGCTTCTAGCCCTCTGGTTACAGCTGCTGCAGCCTTGCCTTTAATTTGCATGGGGGGAGGAAGGGTTCATTGGAGTTGCTTCAAGGCTCACAAACTGTTGACACAAGGCAGACATGAAATGCCTCATTGAACCAACTCCAGGCCCAATAAATGCAAACAATTCAAAGCTGAAACTATCTGGCAGCTGCAGCTGATTTGAGAAGATTTTTTGTTGTGCCAGGAAAATCTTTTCCTTCAATGAGGTTGTCCCTGGAATACATTAGGAACCACAAAATACAGAACAATATCCTTGGTAAAGAGATTATTTTCTTCTCTGTAGTATCACTTAAGATAGGTTGGAAAATTCGTATCATTCAGGAAGGTTGAGAAAAGCCTGAGATGCTAGTTTTGGTTTACTAGCCAGTCATTACATGAAGGTGTCCGAACAGGCAGAAGTCTAGAGCTGCAAGTAAACAAGAAATCACATGGGGGAGCATGAACATGAAAGCAGCAAGGGAAAAAGGCTAAGATGTGCTCAGAAAGTATAAACACCCATTAATCTCACTGGGATTAGGGAACAGCCATAACTACCTGGACTAGGGCACATGAGGGAGATCAAGTTAATTTGACATGTTTTGCTGAGTAGTGGCATGAGCTACCACTTGTTTTTGCTGTACTCCCACCTAAGGAGGCTGCAGAACACGAGTAGACCCAGAGCGGCAGCACAGCCCTGACAGCGGCTGACAAGGGGCTTCTGCAGCCCGAACCCAGCCACCCCATTTCCCAGCTCACTGCACTGCACTGGGGCTGCGCCGTGCAGGGAACCAAGGGAGAGTGACAAAACCAACCATCAGAGATACTTCCCACTTGCTCAGGTACGGAGAGGCATGGGCGGAGGGGTGAAGGCACTTGTGTGGTACAGAGACAGGCTAACTGTGCAACATCGAGCTGAGAGCAACACCATTTTTAACGGGAAGTGTGGATTAGATCTTGATGGAAGCAGTACCTTGGACTTCATGCAACAGCATTTCTAGAAGTTTCATTTGTCATCTGGGGTGAGGTGCAGGCAGCTGCAGTGTATTCTCTCCCCCAACAGCCATCAGCCTGTGCACAAGACCCCAGGTTTCCTCTGCCAGGTGTCACATTCATATTGACAGCAGGGCATGGAGATATCCTGCTGCTGCACAGTGCCTGTTCCTGCAGCCAAGAGGCTGTAGCACATATGACTCTGCAGTCATGAATGCCACTGGAAAAGCAGCATGGTGGTAACACTTCACCACAGTTTGTTCCAATAGAAAGCCCATCCATAATAAAGCAAGCTAACCACTACTTGATGCTGAAGTTTTTTTTCATAATCCTATTATAGAAAAAAAGATTTTGCTGTCACATAAATATTTCTTAAAGTTACTGCAATGGCATAAAGTACAAATTCACTACGAATTTTTGTGACTTGTAGCCTTCTCAGAAACACAGGTACTTCCTTGGAAACAAGTATGACAGAAATAGTTTACCTCCTGTCATTGATGAAGGCTGTGAATGCCCCTAGTCAGGCTCTGCTTGGGCAGCTGCCTGTGCTCACCAGGCTTTTAAGAGGGAAGCCAGTGGACAACGAGCTGCTCTGTTGAGTGCATCGAACACAAATTTACATGTATCCTCATCTTCATAATCGTGCATCTTCACAGTACCTCTTTTCAAAGCCGTCTGACCTACATGTGAGAAGCAGCAGTTATTTTCTTGGTGAGCTGAATTTCTTGGTTCAACTGAATGGTGTACTTCTATTTTTTAAGAAAGGTCTGACGAAGTTAGCAGAGTTGTCTTTTAATTCTGATATAGAGAGTCCAACAGCACACATTTACCAAAATGAAGCAGACAACTGAAGGAATTAATAGCAAAGCAGCAACACAGGTGAAGCTTGTATTTGAACAGCACATCTTAATTTAGGTGGGTGGCAGAGGAAGAATATCATCCCTTCTGGCAATCCTACCTGTCCCACTTGAAGCCTCTATGTAGTTAAAAATAAAGTTTCAGGAGTTACTTCATGGTCTCCATCTGCTTGGTGTGCAAGACATTGAGGTAATAAACATTAAAAAGTTTACAATTGTGAAGTATAGATTTGTGCCAATACCTATTCATTTAACATTCTGGTTTGCTTTATTTTGAAATGGGCCACGTAAATTTATGGCATAGCCTCCTGGAAAACAGCTAAACCCAGCTGTATGTCACCTGTGAACAGTCATTTTCGGGGGGGATTCTGGCTTTATTGGGCTCAGCAGCAAGGATGGCTTCTGGTTTGAAAGGCAAAACCATATCAGCCGTGGGCTCACAGAGGCTGTCAGAAGAGCCTGGTCTCCATTCCCCTTGCAAGCTCTTCCCCTGCTGCACTTTTCTTCTTTTAACAATAACTACTACCAGTCTGATAGAAACCAAGGTGCGTGAAAGAGAGAGAAAACTGGTATCATGAAACTCAGGAACACTATATGGGGGGTAAGGGGAAGAAGCAGCGGATGATAGAAAATGTGAGGAGGGCAAAGCCTTAGGAAGACAGCAGATCTCTTGGAAAATGGGGAAGAGAGCAACAGTGGCTTGGACAGGTATTTATGAACCAGTGTTGTGTCCAGCTCAGGAAGCACAATTCTCCGAGCACTGAGAGAGGACTATATTCCATCTACATTATTCCTGCTCATTTGTTTACTCTACCAGATGGGAAAATCTGCATCCAAACAGCAGAAATGCACAAACACATGAGTATTATCTCTACCTTATTAGAAGTCTCGTCTTACAAGCTTAATTAGTTTATCCCCACCACAAAATGTATTTCTTAATACTTCATTTTAGGTGCTTCATTTTGTAGATGCAGCATTTCTGTTAGCCTTTTTACACAATCACAATATATAAATATGACATATAAAGACAAGTACTTATGTTTTGTATAGTATATTTATAGCTGATAAAACTGTTGAGTGCCTTGGAATTTATGAACCAGCTTTCACCCAAAAATACATTAGTAGCGTAGTCAAAAGGTTAGTCAAAACTGGCATTAAAAATTTTCAGTTACCAAAAATATCTAGTATCCCAAAGTTTTTCTAATGCTTCATCTATTTTGATTGAAATTGATTGAAATATAGCCCAAACCTTGATATAAAATTTAACATTTGTCATTAGAAACAGTGGGAGTTCATCAATACATTATGTTATACCTCAGTGGCCTTGTAAGATTCAACAATTTCTAAGATGCTTCTATTCTACTGCTCTACTGCTGTCTGTGGAACAGGAGGCAAAGATAAAACTAGGCAATTGGAAAAAAAATGACTGTTCTTATAACTCCAAACTTGACATACCTGTAAATCATCTTTAGCTTGATACTGAAATCCACTAAAAAGCAGGCACTGTATTTAATCAGATCCATTGTGATTCAAGATTTAAGAGACTAACATGTATAGGTCCCCTTACTACAAAAGTATCTCATAACCAACAGTAAAAGTAGCTCCAAGTGAGAACACAGTTTGAAGCACTAATGCAAAGACTGGCTGACGTGTTGCATTTTAATTTAGTAGTTACTTTGTATTCCAGGTGATTTGGCCTGACTAATGTGTAGGATTCTTAATGAAAGTAAACCTCTTTCTAATGGGGAAATCCTTACTGTGCTTTTTTCAAGGAAACATCAGGTTTATACCACCTCTGGAGATTAGCTGAACTAGTAAATAGAACAGCCTAGTTGTGTGTTTTTTTAAAAGCTCATGACGTTCTGTTGCACTAACACATAAACATCACAAAATAAATACACCGTACTTCTGCAGAGAGACGTTTAACAACTTACATTACTTTTTCTCTAGTACAGCATACATACATACGTACACAAGTTTACATGGTAGTAAGTGATGACAAAATAGATCTTATCTTTTACAAAAAGAAAGTCTGGGTTTGTGACAAGGCTTTAGAGAAAAGGTGAAATAATAACCACAAGTTTTTAAAAAGCCAGTCTGGCAACAATAGTGGATAGTAGGTCTTATCTTACTTGGCAACTGGCAGGTAGTTCTGATTATTATTAAAAGCAACTGGAGAGGCCTCCCCAGAAGGAGACCTATTTTCTCTTCTAGTTATCCTTTATAAAAACATCAGTCTGCTGGATAATGAATCTGAAAACATGACATGTTCAGAACAAACATCCCTCAATCCTTTTATTAAGGGAGCATCTCTCAAGATTGAAAGGAGACCACTATTCATGCTCTTTCAACCATCCACTAGCTGCCAAGTCATCGGCTGATGCAATGACAATTCTGATATCTGTGAGGCAAGCACCTATGTGTTGTTATAAGCCAACCAGCTAAAATCACTTCAGAGAGGTCACTGAAGAGTCCTTGAATGGTAAAAACTACCAGTTAGAATGAAACTCTAACAGAGAAGTTCCCATTATCCAGCACCTGCATTGTTTGGTCCCCATTTACCTAACAGGTAAGATACAAAACACAGTTAACTGCAAATGCTTACACATTTAAAAGAGAGGCTATCACATCATGTTGATTAAAGCTAGCCCAGAAAACAGTACTTGGAGCTGAGTATTTCAGCACTGAGTCACTGACAAAAAACAGAAAGGAGCTTGACTGAAAAATTAGTAGATCTTCTTATGAGAATCAGTCCAGTCCAGAGGCATAGTTCACGTAACATCGAAATTCATTGGCTAAATTTCGTGAGTGTTTTGGAATAAACTTACATATCTTCACACCAAGATGCTTTGCTGCCTGTTCCTCCATGATTGCACCTGCAGCAAAAATAAGTAGTATTCAATGAGAAAAACAGTAACAGAATGTTTGGGCTTTTTTAATAGCTCCTCCCAAATGCATATATAGAGAGAGCCTGCTTTTTTTCAGGAAGCAAGGCTTAAAGCAGCTACACTATCAGCCCTCTTTAACAACTGAATCTATTGGAAAATTTAAAATAAATCTGAAAGAATAGAAGATGCCCCAAGGAAATGAATGTCCGAGAAGTTTCATAAAAATAGGTAGTGGGTAAGATCAGTGCCCCTTTTATAGAAAACAGAAACTTGAACTCAATCTTCTTGCTACATGCCAAAGAAATTACCTGGAAGGGAGCCATGGGAAATGCAAACAGATTACATATACTCTTCCACTTAAATAAACTGCAGTGCGATATTTACAGCTACACACTGAGAAATCATTTTCTTGAGCAGTATTTCTCAAACTTTGTAAACTGAAGACCACCTATCCATTTTAGGGAAAAAAATTCTGAGAACCATCCTTGTGCATGACTGCCATGTGCAATTAAACAAAGAAGTAGGCTTTGTACGGCCATATATTATTTTACATTTTCTTTATTTTGCCTGCTTGGTTGACTTCCCTTAAATTGTATGTATAGAGGGGTTTTGTCCTTTGTTTTTTTGCAAAAGTGTCCTGGATGTCTTCAGACATCTTGTAATAAGATTACATTTTAAGAAACACCATGGCTAAAGCAGATACTCATCACTTCTTAAACCAGCAAGTGCAAGTACAGTTGGTAAGTTATCCAGTTTCACTGCTCTTATCGCTGGTTTTTAATTCCTCCTGCTGTATTTCAGTGCCTAAAATCTCCTTACTTGAAACACAGTGGCAGAATCCCCTCATACATTCATTCAGATTAAAATGTCTATGTTTAGCAGTAAGGACAGGTAATATATATATATTAAAAAAAAAAGTTGATTTTGTTTTTCTTTTCAAGACTTAGCTAAAATCATCCCACTTTACTCAGCAAAGGCCATTCCAACCTATTTGTCATTCTTTCTACTTAGCTCACCTTCGATGTTAAGTAGTATTAGCATTTAAGCATTGTAGGTCCCTTCCAACTGAAGTAGTCTATTCTAGTCTATTCTAATTTTGTATGTGGCAGCTGAAATCCTGCAGCTACTGACACGTTTAAAAAAAATCACAAATTCGTAAGGTTATTGAATAAGACATTAACAATAAGTTGCACCTATGTTCGTCATACCCAGATTTCAATCATTGCAATTACAGAGAGTGGCCCTTTTACAAGAAAAAAAGTATTTCTGGAACTTTGCAGGATGATCTTGTAATTCTTCAAAAATTTATTAAAACTCATAATGCCATATGAAAAAAGTACTGACTACAACTATTAAAAAACACATGCCTTCAATTTAAAATAAAGGTTGAACTAAAGTACTTCAATAAAAAGTGTAGGACACATATTCCTCCTTGAATTACTGATAAATTAGTATTTTTCTCACTTGAGTAAGTTCGTCTTTTGAGAGAGAGAACAAGGTGCTTAATGGTGACCTAATATTTTTATCAATTATACCTGTGCAAAGCAGAATCTTTCCTTTTGTTAAGTATTTGATGGTCTCTGCAGTTTTTTGAAGACATTCCTCAGACAGATAGGGTGGATCTGCTATTACGATGTCAAAACTGTGTGGCAGGAGATTTTCAGGTAAGTTCAAAGGGTGGTTGTAATCATAGAAGATAAATTCTTCTCCATATACAGAAAACCTTTTGTCGTACTCCAGTATACATGCTGAAAAATCTTTACCATCCTGTTCTTTCAGTTTCTGGTACACACTCGGTGCACTAACACATGCTATCCTGAAAAAGAGACAGTAACTTAGAATATTAATGTAAAAGGCAAATAACAACAACAACAAACCCTACAGCAGTCCTCAGGGCTGCTTTGGGAAAACATTTTAAATATTAGTCCCAAAAACGTAAGCTATACTTCCTCCATTCTAACAAATAATTACTTTAATAACAGAGTTTTAAGTATTGAAGCCATTACCTATTCAACCTCCATGCTGCACAAAGACCTTAAGCTTAACTACAGAGAAAGTCTTGTTTCAGAACAGCACGGAAATATACTTGAAAACTTAAAATTAAAAACGACTCCTTACAGAAATAGGAAGAAAACCAAGTTTTTCCATCTGTTCTACAGAAACACTGTATGAAAACAGAGAAAAGAATTACAAGTCATTAATATGCTCTGGAGCTCTTTGTATTTCTTAAAAAATAAAAAGATTCACAGTAAGGTTTTACAAGGCAGAGCCTACAACATTCAATGAAATGCTAAATGGTAAGATCAGTATGAACTATTAATTAAATAAATAATAGCAAAGCATTTCTGCAGTATCTCAATTGAACAAAGATCAACTACAATGAGTAACGAATTAAACTTCATGCTCTACCTACATAGTAGAAACAAAATATTTACAGAAAAGACATGTTAAATCTACAATGTAATTATCAAAACCTACCTGCCACCTTTTCCAGCTGCCACAACTGCTTCATTAGCCAGGCATGATGCAGTTTCATCGCTGTACCAAAACTGGCTCAATTGCTGAGAAAGATAATGCACAATTACAAACAACATCAAATCTTCTGACTGTGCTATGTACAGTTAGGTGTGGTGAGTCATATTTGAAGAAAATCAAAATCCACAGCAACTTCTCAGTTCACAAACTGTAAAGCTGGAAATGTGACTATTTTCCTGACAGTCTTTTTACTTCTGTAACGAAGCGACATGCAGCCGGTAGCTTACACTGTGTGTTTCCAAAGCATTTAATGCAGCATTCGGAAAATGAAGTAATGCAAAATCACTGACAAGGTTAGCTCAAACTCAGTGTGCAGATGCACAATATTTATGTGCTCTTAAATTGAGTTACTTTAGCAGAAGAGGAAAAAGGAACTTGAAAAGTGACAGTATAGAAGGAAATAAAGGATAAAAGTACTAAATCAGAAGAGATCAGAAAAAGGAAGAGTTAAAAAAAAAAAACAACCCAGAGACAAATCAGAAATCAGTCTGTCAGAAGAAAAAAAAGCAGCAAAGCAGCAATCTATAAAACCAACGAAATAAAACACATAAGTATGATGTGAAACGAAAGATCACTTGATCTTGTTACACTGCATTTGTCTCAAACTCGGGGAAGAATCTTTACTACCTTCACATACCAGGCTGGAGTTAAAACTTCCAGAAGGGATAGATGCTTCTGTTGGCAGCCTTATTCCCTCTTCATGTAATTTCAGTTTGTACCCACCACACACATGTAGAACAGACAACTATACCCAGATTTAATATTAAAGCAAATACCCCACAGTGTTACTGTCCATGAATAATTTGATTTTGCTACTCTAGGAACATCCTGAGCGTTCCCCTTTTTAATTCCATTTCATTATCCATCCACAGAAGAAACTTGGTAAAGGCTACTCCTCTAACTGTGCTTCATTCACTGAAGTTTATAGTTTCTTACCCAGTCTTCTTCTATTGAGCCAATGGAATATTGATTAAACCCTTGGGAGGTCTTCATGCCCTCTCTCTGCTGCTGTTCCAAATAGAACTCCTGGAGGGCTGCCAGCGTATGGGATGAAAGCTGGGGAATGTCATCATCATCATCATCCATTTTTCTAGATGTCAACCAGAGGGAAAAAAAATAATTAAAGTAACCCTTTTCAGTGGTGAATGCTTTTAATAACGGCATAGTCTCCTGAGGTAAAACAACCTCCACTGACAGTGCAAACTTACTCTAACAGCTAACTAGGAAAACCTCCTCACAAGAGAAAACATATTCCCTCTACTTAGGAGCTCTTCAACCAGTGACAGGCAGATTGGAAATAACATGCCTCCAGAGAGAATTCAGGAACAGCAGCAGCACTGTTCCCTTTCTATACAACACAGATTTGGCTTATATTCTTACAGGGAACTTGTCATTACCATTCTTGATTTCCTGAATCTGTAAACCTTTTTTGTATCAGCTTGCAGAAAAAACAACCTTTAGTGGATTTGGCAAATCCTATAGAAATTATTCCCTTCTCTCCTAGAAATAATGATGGCTACCGGTCATTCCTTTCCATGTTCAAAAGTCACACCATTCTGACTCAAAATGAAGTAAACCAGCATTCTAGGATCAGCATCACCTGGCTTTAACTTCCACACCATAAAAAGAGTCCTCTGAATACCAGAAACCTTCTGCAAACAAAAGCAGGCAAGAAGCTCAAGAAGATGTTTTTCTAAGATAACGCTACTCAACTGAAAATTTGTGTATTTTGTATGTAAGACATGGACATAACTCATATCAAAAAGACATGGTATATACTAATGGAAAAGTATAGCCATTTTCAGAAAACTCTTGAACTGGGTCACACTGCACAGTATCGCTGAACCCTGCTCACCCCAGGCAGCCAAGTGGCATCTGCCCAGAGGGAAAGCCAACACGTTTGTGTCCTTCCCAGAAGGGACAGTGCCACCTCCTGGAACGAAGGGGACGAAACCAGGAACCGTGCATGTGAAAAGTACTGGAGAAAACTTGAAAAGATTCTTCTCTCAAGAAACCCATTTTCTCCCATGTTCTGATCTAAGAACTAGCACACAAGCAGTGACTTGAACAGAACTTGGAAACGGGCATACGCTGACCTTTGTGCAGAAGTCACCAAGAGAACCACGTGCCATCTGAACTGTGTGCAACTTCAAAAGTTAAGTATAATTTGAAGTATGGCTGCTCACAGTTTTTATTCTCCCCATTCCCTGCATTACAACAAGAACTCCAGAATTCAGTCTCCTCCCTTTCCACCCTTCCCTCCATGCTGCTCGCCCTAGCAGAGTTTCCAGACATTTCCTAAAGCACAGCTTCTCCCTACCTGCTGGAAAAATGGCATCATTAACCTGCCACTGTGAGATAACTCATCAGTATTCACGAGAATAATTACTCTGCCACTCCACTGACACAGTACACACCTACATGTGGCAAGAGTAAAGCACTTAGCTTTTCCAGAGTATCCTTTATTGACTTGCTGGTTTCTCAGGCTGGGTTGGCCAAACAGGGAATCATTCAGAGCTTGAAGACCCACCTATGCCATTAGTCTCATGCATGAGAATTCAGGAGTCAAGCTACCTAGTAAAACTAAAATCGCTAATTTCATCCCTAGTGTTTTGTTGAATAAAACATAAATGCTTTAAAATTATTTATATTATTAAACTATGTATTATTTAAAGTATTTACTATAAAAATGACTGCAAATTCACACAGATAATACAGTTTTTGGCAACAATGCTCTAACAATACACAATGCTACAGTCCATTTTAGGCCCTATACAAGAACGCTTTTTCATTGGGACAGACATTAGAAGTTTAAAATCACTCCTCATCTCAAAACTTTTTTATTAAGTGCATCATACATGTAGTAATCTTGTTTGCTATTATCCCCTAGGCAGGGACACATCTATGCTTTGACACTAAGAAACTGAAACAGATGCAAACTTGCAGTTCTTAAGTCAAAAGCTGAAAATTTGATCTTATGTTCAGTGAGCCCATACAGGCTTTTGCAAGGACTAAATCCATGCCCATGAAATGAAACCCTCACAAACAAAATTGCTGATGAACCATTACCCATGGTTTCAGTAGATAAAAAGGCATACAGCCATAGACACCTTTTTTCTAGAAATATTTTTTTTAGTTGATTTTTTAATAGTCTTCCTTTCGGTTTGTAAATTAAAGCCTTAGGAACCAAGCAGTAATTAACTGTGAGGTTGCAAGGAGAGGTAACTCGGAACATATGGTAGAAATATTATGTACATCTATTAAGAACACCTTCAAAATTCAAGATATTTTTCTGAATATACATATATTGTCTATATATACTGACTTAGGTCATTAGCATGAAGACATTTTCATGCTCAAGAACGACATCAGAAAACTATTAAAGTGAGTTTATGTGAACAAGACTTGTAAATTCCTTTGACTTCAAGGAGAAAGTTCTACTCTTTGAAAGCCCTCTATATCCCTCCCAGAAAGTTCACTGCTCTCAAGTCCAGAAACAACCCTGAAAGTTTTGGGGGAGGATGGGAGGAAGCAGAGAAACTCACAGTGCCTCTGGCACTTAGGGAACCTTTAAACTCTATTAACTCCCAAGGCTCCTGAGCCCCGATGCTCCAGCTTGCCTATCCATGCTTGCCCCAGCCCCTGGGTTCCTCCACAAGCAGCCCGTGCTCTGTCCTCACGCAGACTCTCTAGGAGTAGGCCATACCTACATCTGTTTTGTAGAGTCTTTTAATACAAATCAAAACTTCTCAAACATCTGAGAGGTCATCCTCAAGCACAGGCAGCCAGCTTGTTCCCCTGCAGTCAACTGGGAAAAACTCAAAACCTCAAGTTTTTGGGGCCCGGGTGCCATGAAACAGAACGGCTTCTGAATAGGATGGCTAAGTCAGGGGACGTCAGAAAGGCAGAACTGACAAACCTGCACACAAACCTGAAGCAGTTTTCTTATGTACCAATGGTTTTGTGGAGTAGGGAAAGAGGGACAAGGCAGGATTTGTGGACCAGGAGCAGCTTACCTGCCACAGACCTGAGAACAGCTCCATTTCAGGATTAAGTCTGGAGAACTTTTTGTTAATGTCCACAGCAAATGGTTCAAGAGGAAAGCTGTACTAGTTCAGATCAAGGGTTGATACTGGTCATTCTTCTATCCTGAAGGTGGCCAAAAGCAGCTGTCTCAGGAGTGAGATAAGGCAAGTATATGTGATACCTCCCCACTCTATACTCTCCCAGACTTTAACCATTTGCCACTAAGGGAGTTGTTTCTGCATCTGAATTCATTTATTCTGTGAATGCAGTTCTCTTAGAGACACTTGTCCAGTATCCCTTAAATTCACATAAAGTTTTTTAATCTATAATGTTCGCTGGTACGAAGTTTTATTTTATAACTACCTCTTCTTGCTGTGAACGTGGCTACTAGCTTCACGTGATGCAAATACTTCGTGTACTGGAAGAGAAAGCAAATGGTTGAGCCCTTATACACTCTCCCCACAGCACTCCACGTGTCATTTCATAGACACCTGTAAGTCAACCTCCCTCCCTCACTCTGCAAGTTGGCTCTTTTCTAGCCTGAAGGGCCTTAACCCACTCTATTGACTGGTTGACAAAAGTCTTTCCATGCTTTTCCTCATCCTTGTTAAACACTTCTAATATACCCTTTTTTTGAGATAAGGAGACTAGAACTCTACGCAGTATCTAAGATATGGGTGATCACACATTTATGTTGTCATTTTAAGATGTTTTCTGTTAGAGTCTATTTCTTTTCCTAAAAAATTCTAACATTTGATGTGTTTTTCTGGCTGCCACCAAACACTCGTATGATGTTTTTTGGAGAATCACTTATCATAATCCTGAAGCCTCCTGCCTAAGTGGGGATGGTGTCCAATGAGAACACGATTAAGTAGAGTTTACAAAGAAATTTAAAAGGATCTACCAAGAGCTCCAAGATACCAGCATGTACAAAACAAAACTAAACAGCAGTTCTGGTCCCTTCATCTCAACAAAAAGCAAGAGAAAATACTGAAACTAGAAAATGTTCAAGAAGGGTCCTGAGCCATCCAAAGATTAGAACAGCTTTTACAGGGGAATGAGTACTAGGAAGTAACTGAGAAGGGGTATGACAGAGCCTGTCATCATGAGTGGCATGAACACCATGGGCAAAGATCAACTACTGTTTTCCAAGGCAAGAACTAGAAGGCAACAAGCGTGGGCTGCAAGAGCCTGGTTCAAAAACAAAATCAAAAGGAGCTGGTTCTCGACGCAAGGTGTGGCTGAGCTACAGAATCCCTGTCAGCAATGGAAGTTCATAGTGCTTCAAAACGACACAGAAAAGTTTATAGAAGAGAAACTCTCAGAGGATTACTAAATATGCAGAAACTGCATTGGATTCAAAAAGTGAGGTCTGGAGGCCAGGTAGGTACTTTGAAGGAGAAGGGCAGTGTGATGTATTCTAGCCCAATTCTCATCCTTTTTAATAAGCACAGACAGACAGGGACGGTAGGCTGGACTCAGAACCGCTGTAACCCTCCTCCGTGTGAACGACGAAACACTGACAGTTTCTGAAGGCCCTTTTTTCCTGTTCCCTCTTGTATTTAATCTCTTTGAGCGCCCTCCGCGGCCAAGTACGTACCCCCCCCCCCCGGTGCGAGGGGTTCCCCAGGAAAGCACGCTCCCCGAGAGGCGAGCCCCCCGCCGCCCACCAGCCCTCTCCTCGGCCGCCACCTACCCCCGAGCAGCGGAGAGGCGAGCAGAGCAAGGAGCAGGACGCTCCACGGCCCCAAGGCTGACAGGAGCCACCCTCCCGCCTCAGCAGCCCCTTCCGCGCCGGGAGCGGCGCGTCCCCGCCGCAAGGACCGCGACACCCTTGCGCCTCCCGCAGGCCGCCCCC